CACATAAAACACTAAGGTCTGTGCGTGTTTCAGCGTGAGTGTGTCTACAACCATTACACACTGGTTGAGTGTACCTTCACTCTGTTGATTATTGCCTGTGTGCATGTGTGTGTGTGTTTGCTGTCTAATTCACAGTTAAGTTAATAAGTAATGACAGACGATAGAAAGGATTCCTGAGGGCTCTGTTCAGTATGTTTCAAACTGTAAAGTTGTTCAAATGTCTTCTACTAATGTCACACAAACACACACACACACACACATACACACACACACACACACACACACACACACACACACACACACACACACACACACACACACACACACACACACACACACACACATACATTGTCTCAGGGGAATAGCATACAGTAAGAGGGCAAAAGCACACAGCTGTATAGAAGCTTTGGCACTGATGAAGCTTGGCAGATTTCACCCTTCAGTTCTCTTTGTAGAACAATACACACTGTGAGCAAGTGTTGCTGCGCAGCTGTGCATTGTGTTTGTTTTAAAATGTTTTCTGCAGCTGATAGTAAAAGCTCACTCATGCATCTAGAGGTTCAGGTTAGTTGTATTTGTCCAGGTTTTAGGAAGTCTCTGACATTTCTCAATACAATGGTTGGAATGGGGTTTTTTGATGTCCTTCCCTGTAGTGTGTATAGGCTTCTGTGCTTTAAAATGGTCTACAAAGGCTAAAATCCCTGTGTTCCCTCCAGAGGGAGTCTGGAGCAACATCCCTGTCCATGTTCCCAGAGCACACACACGAAGGTGAAGCTTTTTTGTAAAAAGAGGGATATATCTTTTTGGGGCTAATTTTAGATACCCTACACATAACTGTATTTCATCACCTCACTGATGCAAAAAAAGAAATCCTATATAAATCCAGGATTGCTATAAAGCAGTCCTGCTTATTGAACAGCAACAATTCACCCAGTCATATCCTGTATATCCTATGTATACTATATATCAGCGACGTGCAGTCAGTGGAAGCAGGGGAGGCAGCGCCTCACCTGTCATACTCCAATGTAACGGAAAAACAACTAAAGAAAAACTAAATAGTAATAATAATAAAAGGTCTCCACTGATCTGTTTTGTAAATGTGATTTATGTATGATTACAATCGCTTTTTATAGTCAAAATCAGCCAATTTGCCGAGCTCCGCTACAACTACGGGTAGCGATGAGAAGTGAGACAGGGACGAGCTCTGCCTCACGTAAGCCCTCAGTAACTGGCTGGAGCGCGGGCACTAATTTAGCGCGGGCACTTACTTTGTGAGCGCGCTCAAGCCAGTTACTGTGAGGTGAGGCACAGATGAGATCTGCCTCACCTCAGAATGCGTCAGCCCACAGAAACTGTCTGGAAAGCGGGCCCTAAGCGCATGCCTGCACCATCTCACTGTAGGTCACCAATGTAATGTTTGTAGATCCCTTTATTACATTTATCCTCGCCATCCATAATCTCTAAATAACTTATTTCACGTATATATGATATTTAGGCCCGCTGGTCTCATCATACAACGGCAATGAAAGGGGGCGCACGTGAGCCCACAGGTCCTTGTTGCTACTGTTATTCTACGCAGAGACGGTAGACGCGAACAACAAACTAGACTTTTGAAACTAGAGGAAGATAAGGAGGACTTTTACAAAAAAGTAATAGAGATTGTTGTCCAGAAGGATAGCATGGACTTCATCTTCAAGTCAAGGTAAGACCACAATTGTAATGCAATTTGTTTCGTTACAAAGAAGGCTATACAGCACATCTTTATTGCTCACATCAATGTTGTCATTGCCAATTGGGACCAAAACCTTTTTGACCAAGCAGCAAAAAGAAGCCAATAACCAGAGAACATGTCTGTAGTTAAGCCACTGTCAATCAAATCAATGTCAGTCAGAAGAAGCACATTAGCCTTTTTAGTGTTACACTCTTAATCTTTTTACTTTGATCTTTGCACACAAAACATCTTAAACACATCAGCCAAAAAGGAAGAGGGTACAAACAAAATGTTAAGTAATTGGGTTGCACTGATCCTTTACATTAATTACCTTGTTTAAAAAGGGTGGTTATACAAAATTCAAATGTCCTTCAATTGGAAAGGGGCTCATTACAAGATAATAATCAATGACAATAATTACTTAGGAGGTTAAACACTTTCTCAGGGGTTCACACCTGTGTTGCATTGCACCTCTTAGACTTAAGGGGCCTTCGTAAATAGTGATGAAGTGCCTTAGCACACTCTGTATTGTGACATTCAGATATTTAGAGCAGCATGCTTTCGTAGCAGAGTAGAGCATAATATTCACTGAATGTGCGAAAGTGATATTTTGTCATACTATATAATGAAACTTTTTGCTAGCTAATTAGCTCACGTTTCTTCTGATTCAACTTTAGCTTTAGTCTAATTTAGCTAATGGCATCATAATCATCTCGTACATTGTCATCCTCACTGACAAGCATGAGACACTTATTTTGTATTCTACATATGGATTGTAACGTTTTTGTGCAGAGTATCCGCCCTAGGAGAAAAAACTAGACCTCAGATGGGAGCTAAGCTACTGTAACCCAGCCAAAGCTCTTCCACTGCTCTTGCTGATGTAAGGTTGTCGTACAGTGAGATAGATGAAAGAAGGCTGGAGCCACACAAGGACGATAACGCAAACGGACCGCAATCGTTATCAAAAAAGTCTTCCAACAGGCACCAGAAACGTGTCCGTTCACACGAGACCGCTCAAAATCGCTGGAGACGCTGTAGTACATATGTCAGACCTGTAAGTGGCGCTGTAGTCCTGCCACAGAAGCAGCGAAGAAGACTTCCCAAGCATGGTTGCCATGGTTGCCCTTCTGTTTATTCTCCGCTGTGGACGCTCTGGCTCTTTTTCTCCCTCCCCGAGGCAAGCGTTTGCTCCTGCTGTAATTCTCTCCGGTAGTCCACCAGCAGATGAAAACACCCACCTCTCCGCCTCTTCCAAGGGACGAGGGGACCGTGCAGCAGTGTTTCGGTTAGTTTTTCTTTCGCCGGTCAACATGTCCGTTCAAGTTTAAATCTTCCGGACAAAATTAGAAAAGTGCCGGTCAAAGGTCTTCTTTGTTATGTATTGAGTTTTAAAACAAATGAATAACGACTATATAATAATATAAGAATACAAAAAGGAGCCTCTCTTTTCCTCCCCCTCTTCTGACAGCCCAGCAGCTGATCTCTGAGCAGGAGAAGCGGGGCTATTGCGTCATCGTTATCAGGACATGATCGTATAGGCGTAAACACGGAGCCGTTTGCCCCCCCAGAGCGTTTCGTTTGCAGATCTAGCCACCTTGGGACCCATTATCGTTATCGTTTTCTGCGTTTCCATGTCGGCCTCGTGTGGCCGAACCGTCTATCTGATCGTGAACTGTAGCAGATACGACCGTTATCGTCCTCGTGTGGCCGGGGCTTAAGACTTGGGCTAACCTAGCCCCATGAGATCAGAGACTGTTGTGCCCACATCTTTACTCAGCTCTGGCTCCACAGTGGCATCCCAAATCAAGCTGTTGCACTTGACAGGCGGGACAGAGTGCAGGACTCTAGTTGGATAAGAAGAGGACAATTATTTGCTTATATAAATGGTGCTCGGTGGTCAAAAATAAAGTTGATGGATAATGTGTTGTTAATATTGAATTGTTAATGTTCGAGATCTATATTAACTAACAGTAAAAAACAGTAATATTTTTGTCGTTGCTGTTTACATTCCTTCTTAAGCAAATTCTAAAAAATACAATCCAAGCGGCATGGACAATTCAGGAGTGGGGGGGCTTGCTACTGAGCTTGAAACCTCCTCTGGCCCCCCTCGAAAATAAATATTCATGATAATACAGTTTTTGAATGTGTGACATCAAAGAGTGTGCTGTAACTTTTGCAAGAAAAACAAGATTGTCTTTCTTTTGATAATGTAATTTAATTAAATTGTGTCAAGTCATTGAAACAAATTCTGTCTCTAAAACAAATACCAATCCTGTTTTGTTTTTTATTGTGGCTATGACTCTAGACTTGACAAAATATGTTGAAATCTTGGGCCGTCCCCTTGGTCTCTTTTTCGTCTTTTAAATGTGACCTTTTTATAAAATAACGGGCCCCAGTACGGCCCCCCAGTAAAAATGGTCTAGAACTGCAACTGCAAAGGTGCACAAAAATAAATGGACAATGCTAAAAACTGCATTTTAAACCTGACAACCTGGTCCTTGAGACTTTGTTTTCGTTCACAGTTATTAGCATGACATATATTTTCAAGCAAATGCACTGCCATACTACAGCAGCTACAATCATCTATCTGAAGAATCCTGTTCTATTCATTCTACCAACTGCCTCTGACATGGCTGTTTGAAAAAACCTTTCATGTTTCTACATTTTTTGAAATATAGTCTAGCTATGTACTATTTATAGAAGACCCGGCATTCTCTACACCTAAGTCAAGGCCTGTTGCATGGTGGGAAAGGAGATGGGTCGGAGGTGGGGCGCTTGAGGATACCGTGACCTAGATGACTGAGCTGGAATGATTGGCCTTGCGGCGCTCAACGTGCTGCCATACCAATGCTCCCGCAGGATCCTGGTGACACAAGATGCATGTCTCATCTGCCTTTGTTCTGTGGGGACGAGGTTTGGAGTGTTCAGGAATGTCAATTAAATACGTAACTACGAGCTTCTGCATCACAGCCATTGTTCTGTTTCTGAAATTGAGTGCATGAGGGGCATCGTAACATGCATCTATTTTAAGAATAAGACGTCACTACCTAATGTATAGCTGCAGAAATAAAAAAATGGTTTTCTTTGAAAGTATTATTATTTTGCTAGATAAAACCGAGATTCGCAAATGCAACGTGATGCATTCAGCCTTTTCAACAAGCAAACTGCCCTGGGATAGAGCTGTCACTAATGGTTTGTTTGGTCATTTGTTTGCAGGGAATAGGTTCTTAATGAAACCATTCTAAACATTCCTCCATCTCTTTCTCTTCCTTTTTTTCTGACTTTTCAGGATATTACGTTTCCAGTTCCATGGTTGAGGAGGGTCTGAAGTGGGAGAGTCGTCACCTTTTGCAAGAAGTCTACGAAAATGATTCAAAGCTCTTCCCAGAGCCGGAGAAAAACTGCACAGACCCAGGTAAGACTGAGACTGAGATCCATGCAAAAAAAATACATGGCACAAGAAGCTCTTATTAGTGTATGATACATACCAACTGTATATTACTGTAGAGTTGCCAATCTCTACTATGTCTTATCAGAGCCAAAGCCCAATATGCCACATTATATTTCTTTATTTCTTTTGGCCAAAATGGTGTGAGGTATGGCTCTTCTTCCTTATCTCTTTCTTTGGATATGGTTATAGACTATATAGGTATTCCCCAGAGAAGCGTAATGGGACCACTTGTGTTGTCACTATGCTGTTCCGTACTACTGCATGTTTTTTAAATGATTTTAACAAAGGAGTGGTGTTCACTACATATCAATATGCAGGCAGTGATTTTCGAATTTCCAAGGTCCACATTTCTTCCAAATTTTCTTCTGTAGTAAGTCCCGGTGCTACAGCAGACACCTATTTTTAATCATAGGAAAAACGTTCTTTAAGGGCCGGTGGTAACTTTAAGACTATATAGATATATCTATTCTTTATATTATTACATAGCCTCAGCATCATATCATAACTTAAAAAATAACTATCTCTGAAAGCTGAAGTCTAGGGAAAATAATTGCAAGCAGATATTCAAGTGTACAACACTTGTACAATTTATTATAACAATTATAAAAAATAAGGTCTGTGAAAAAACCACATGCATTAATGTATGTGCAGACACAAAAGGGCCAATCGCAGAATGTGCCCTAGCGACATCTGACTGGAGTTGACCGAGAGGGTCACATATTCTGTTGAAAATGCTGGCTGCATCTTAATTCTTGGACTTTTCTTGCTTTTAATGGTGGCTGATGCTAGCAAACTTGGCTCCGTGTTTGGCGTCGGTGTTCCATCGTAAATTGTATTCCCTGAGCACTGCCAATGCTTTATAGCAGCAGCACACTGCCTGGAGTGCCAAATAAGGTCACCAAATAAGAAGCATTGTGGGACATGTAGTTTATGGACACCATACTTCTGTAAAGCAGCATACAGTTCTATAATAAGGAAATTATATTTTTTGTAAACTGTCCCGGGCCACACAAACTGAGTGAATTCATTAATTTAGTTGACGATTTTATCCATAGTCGCTTACAAATTATCAATACCATAGACATGCCATCAGGAGCAATATTGGGTTACCTATCTTGCCCAAATAGACTTAAACATATCCACTGCAGGGACTGGGAATCAAATCACAGACCCTTTGATTGTTGGACTTATCTAGCACCTCCAACAAGTCAATGCTTTTTATCATCCCGTAAAATATCAACATCCACATCCATCCACACACACACACACACACACACACACACACACACACACACACACACACACACACACACACACACACACACACACACACACACACACACACACACACACACTGAAAATATCAGGAGAGCTGTCTACAGAGAAGCTCGACTGCCGGTAAAAAAGGACAGCACTTCCTCTGTGGAGCAGCTAAAGACAAACCGGGAGAGAGTGTGAGGGAGATGTTGGCATTCAGATGAAAGCGGATTAAATAAAACTTCTCCCAGGTAGAAATCCTCTTTTTTTTCTACAATAGACGAAACGCTGCTGTCGTCACGCTGCTCGTATCTCTATGTGTCAGATCCCTTTGTGTGCACCAAAAGCTCTCATGTTGTATGTTTGTGGTGTGTGTGTATGTGTGTTTTCCCCATGGCGCGGAGTGTGTGAGTGTTTTCCATGTGGAATCCTGGGGCTTTACAAGGCTGACGTCCTGCCAAGCATTCTCTTGATCTCATTGTAAACACACCGCCCTCAACTAATGCTGCATACACACACACACACACACACACACACACACACACACACACACACACACACACACACACACACACACACACACACACACACACACACACACACACACACACACACACACACACACACACACACACACACACAGCGTTCCTCCTGCCTGCAGTTTGGGGTGCACAGACACCGGATTGTGCAGTCTGCAGCCTGAATTTGTACGGATGAGTTATATTTAGACAGCACATAGTTTATAGCCTGTTTCTGTTTGATTACGCGGTGTCTGCTGAAACACTAATTATCTTAATAGGGATTATTCCTGCTTTCCTGCACTGAAAGGACCCTTCAAAAAGTGCTCCTTATGCCTCACTCGCTCTCTCTTTTTTATGCTATCGCTCCATTATCATCTGTTCAGCTCTCTTGTCCCCCCAGAGCACTCGCTGTCTCCTGCTTTTTTGTGTTTTTCTATCTCTCTTGTTCTTTTGTAACATAAAATCAGCAATTTCAAGTTTCAAGCCTTAAAGATACAGCACAAAATGAGGAGATGTACGCACAAGCATCTTCCTGATGATGTGGAAACATTTGCACGCAATAATTCTTCAAAACAAATATTTGATCTGATGTGGAGAATGTCAATAATCTTAGAAACAGACAGAGTGGTTAATTTGAATTGTTTTATTTGTTCATCTTCCTGCAATATGGCATATATGGCAGCATCTGTCTCTTCAGCTTCCTGTCTGTAATTGGTCAGATCAATGGCACTTCTTCCTCTCCTCTCAGCACACACAGTATACAGACAGGGTGAATGCATCCATACACAGAGGAGTACATGTACACAGACAGACTTCTAAAGGCAAACACACGCTGGAGGACATTCAGATACAAACACACACACAGACACCCTTGTATGTGAAACAAACAGCTGTGCACACATTGTGTTTTTCTCTCAGCTCATGTCTGGCTTTGTCATCCTTCTAAGGTCAAATACTGACATACACACATTCAGCTATGATTTGGCATTATATCAGCGGAGTGTCTTGGATTAGAGATAATCATGTTTACAATTGCTGGCTTTCTCCTCTCTGCTCATGAACCGCAAAATATAAACTCTGCCGTATTGGCATTTCTGTGTTTCTCAATGTGTGTATTTGTGCCAGTAGCAATGACCTCGGTCTGTCATTTCCCTCTGATTTAATAACCCTCTATCATACAACATCAGCATAGACAGATCTGGATGTCTGTAATGCTTGGGATCCAGCCGACTCCTAACTTGCCTTATCAGTTGCATGTTAGCTTACAATGCTATATCAGGTCTTAGTTAACCATAACCAATGATTTGATACAGTCTGATTTGAGACATGATATAAAAATGAGACATGATAAAAGAGTTATGTTTCTTTAATTCTTTAAAGTTGAGTCATGGACTGGAGTGTCTGAGCAGTTCAGCTGACGCATCTCAGTTTTACTCTTGGTTAAATATGAAATATCCACACTAAATGACCATGTTGAAATCTAAAAAGGTCAACAATTGATCCAAAACCCCCAATAACACACAAAACCCCTCAATTATGTCCAAATGAGGCACTCTGTTGTTGAAATGTTGTCCATATACTCTATAATGCTAATACATGATTATTTAAGCAGCTTGTGCTTATTATGCAAACATATGCAAGTTAGCATCCTGCAGCTTCCAGATGCTTTACATTCATAACATTCAACTTCTTGACCAGGATGATCCACTGGTTATTTTTGTGGTATGTGGAAGCTGTGGGATTTGATCGACACTTGTGTTTGTGATAACTTGTCTTCAAAACGCATGGTCAGTTGTCCAACAAATTTGTCAGAGCAAAAGGTCATAGTCCACAGAGGATCAGTCCCAATGCCAATGTTAACTTTCTGACCTTTGCTGCTGCATATCTACATTTAAATGTGAAATACATTTTAAAAAATATGTACAAAAATAGATCATGGAATCCAGGAATTAGAAACCCTGAAACTGCTTGCAAGATATCTCACTAGTGTGAAGTGCAAAACATTGTTTTAGCACATTATGCTAACAAGATAGACCTTTGTATTGTTACCCATGGTAACACCTGCAGACATTTGTTAGACTTGTTGGTTTATGAGAAATGCTTAAGCATTTTGTATGCTCCTCCATCCTAAGATGTTTTACTTTCCAGTTAGTATTGTCAGTGCTGTTTCCTGCTGCAAGTAAAATGCTCTGCAAATGTTAATTATTTTAAGAACCCAGGCCCTGTGTGCTGCAGGTTTTCCAAACATGCAGCTATTATCTATTTAATGGGACTGTTTTGCCTTTTTCCATTACTGAACACTAAGGCAGAGAGAACCTAAAAGGCACAGTGATGGTCTATTTGGATACAGTTCTGACAGCTAAACATGACTAAAACTGGATTTAATACAACATTCAAAGCATTTCAGTCACAAGGAGAGGAACTTGATAAGTAAAAGTTTTAAATCTCTACTGTTCTCTATAGATTAAACTAATGAACTTTTCCTGTTATATAACGGGCAATGAATGAATCAATAAATGAATAAATGAAGAAGAGATTAAGACACAGCAATTGCCATTTTGTGGATGCTAACATTCTAGCTTCAGAGCATTTATCTCAACACACAACTGTTAGCATGGCTGTAACCTAGACTAAACATCAAGGGCATGCTGAAGCTGAACAAGACATACAGGAAGTAAACAAAAGGAGGCAGCAGGAGACAGACAGGTAGTACATACTTTCAGGACCAACAGAGGAAGACAGACATGGGGTGTTTCTCAATGTCGAGGAGGCTTGCTTGGTACCTCCGAGTCAGGTCCTTTAGAAGCGAGGCAAGAATCCTTCCTAGCCTCGGAAAACGAAGAATTGTGGAACAGGCTAACAGGCGTGTGTCATATGCGAGGCCCCACCTTAAATGGAGCGCGATATCTGCCAAAGATTTGGAAATTGGTCCGTGCGCAAAGCATTGTGGGGATTTTAAGACCGCGGAGTCTACACATGTGCAGCCTCGAAATTTCCCGCAACGAAGTACGCCGGCCTCGGTAGAATTCCAAGTATGCTGGACATTGGAACAGTCCTTCGGCGGGACTCGATGACGTAGCATCCTTGAAATAGTGGCTCTGGAGCAGCTTTCTTCGACATTGAGAAACACCCAGGGAGTAAACACTTAAGGGAACAGAAGAAGAACAGACAGGAAGTAAACACTTA